CAGTGGGGCTCCAGGTCACCTTGGATTTGGCCATGGATCAGGCTGGGAGGGAGATTCGGCATCTTTTGTTGCAGCAGCTGATGTGATGGGGAGGAGCGGGGCTGTCCTTGCCTGGGCAGATTCAGGACCGAAGCAGGCAGGGTCCACCGGCTGGGGCGCGCACCCCGCGCCGCCCCCGCGGGCAGGGGAAACCTCCCCGTCGTGCAACGCGCCGGAGCTCTCCAAGAAAGCTGCTGGCTCTTGAGACATCTTTGAGCGAGGCTGAACGAGTGACTGCCTTGAATTAAGAGTGGTCAGGGGGGTGGCTGCAGGCCCTGAGTACTTTTTCCATCCCTAGACCTTGTGATGCATTAATCACCCCCAGAGCAGCCTCTCAGCCGGCTGAAATTGTCCTGACCCTGAAACTCGAGTTGTCATTTCTTCCTCTCCCTCCTCCTCTTCCCTCCCAGCCACTCCCACCTCCTGCCTCCCCTTCAGAGGATTTCGGTGGGGCTGGTTTGAGGGTCCCATTGCACCCCATTTCTCCTGGGGTCTAGAGCAGTTTCCCCATACCCCTCATTGCTCTTCACCTTTTTATCATTTCTTGGAGGAGAACCCAGGCTGTGCATCCCCCTTCCCCAGGAGGTGTCCATGTGCTGCTGGGATCCAGCCGGCTGTCCCTGAACCATCAGAGCAGGGTTGCTGCCAACAAATTCACTATTTATTCACCCTTAGGCTCTTGGAAAAGCTCCCTGAGCTGAGTTAACCCCGCTGTTTCCTCCCCAGACCTGGGGCCAGCTTGGACCCACCGCTGATTTCCCTGAGCCAGCTGCCCTTGCCAGGCACGGAAGCTCCCCTTCCCATGCCAGCATGTGCCCACGTCCCTGCTGCTGGCTCCTTCCCTCCTTTCAACCCCCTGAGCTCCAGACATCAACAGCAACTTAAATTCAGGGCCACTCTCCCAGCCTGTGCTTCCTCATCTTAAGGCATGAGCAGGATGCGACCCACCACATGGCTGCAGAAGCCGCTGCAGCAGCAAATCCATGCACCCGGGAAATGGTCGGTGCTGCTCTTGCTCCTCAGAGGTGGGGTCCAGCCCAGCTCCTGCGGCCAATGCATCCCTTTCTGCTGCCCGGACTAATACCGACTGTTATTTATTATTTGGAAAGAGCTGTGATTATAATCCCTGGCAAGAACTCTGTCTCTGGTCCGAGGTGTGCATGGAGCCATGTGTACGGGGCCGCAGGTTGGTATGCTCGGGGAGCCCTGCAGCCCCAGGTAGCTCAAGGGGGCACAGAGAGGTCTCCCCGGGCTGCAGGGGTCCATTGGGAACAGCGGAGGAGCACACAGGACCCACGAGTTGGGGGTCCTGAACCACCCCCCACCTCTATTCCCCTTCAATCAGGTCCAGATTTTTCCCAGAGGAGGGAATTGTTCAACTAACTATGTCAGGGGAGAAGAGTGAGACATGCAGGAGGCAGGCGAGCGGTGGGAAGGAGCGAGGGGAAGGGAGAAGAGGAGCGGGTGGAAGAAGTGATTGATGAACCCCCGGGGATTAATCAAACCTTGCTGAAGGGCTCGACCCAACCCTGCTGTGCTCCTTCGAGAGAGCAGGGGTGTCTGCCAGAGGGAAAGGCGCAGAAAACAGCTATCCGTCCCTGCCTCCCACTCCTGTCCCCCTGCACCCCTCCCTGCACTCCTGCAAACCCCCCAAGCCCTGGATGAAACAGCCTCTCCCTGTCCCCATCCTTGTCCCTGACCCCTCTGCCTGTGTCTAAAGCCAGGAGGGAGAAGCCCACCCTCCCTTTGCCTTTCCTGGGAGTCACCCCTGTCCCTGGGAGCGGGGAGCCTTGTGCTCCCTCCTGCCCACTCCTCCTCACTGCCTGAGGTCCCATGGGGCTGGCGTGGAGCAGTGGGGAGATGTGGGGCACGAGGGGCTGGAGGTGTCAGGGGAAGAGCAGTGCCTGGGGCAGAGATTGTGGGGGGAGCCCAGAGAGGGGATCCAGGGGAGGGGACATGGAGGGGACCTGGCAGAGGGTAGCCTGGGGTTGGGGACCAGGGGGGAGCCCAGGACAGGGGGCCGGCAGCCCTTGCCTAAGGGCAGGCAGAGCCCTCCCAAAGCCCCCAGCCAGCCCCCACACCCGCCACCCTGCGGTC